TAATTTCTTCAACATCTGCTCACTCAGAAGAATCTTCTGCTTGTGAATCATCTGATTCATCTAATTTTGAACCAGAATCTCTCAAACAAGCACGTTCTGAAAGTGTTATGAAGGAACATGTTAACATTTCTATGTTTCATACTCCACCCAACTCCCCACCTCAGAAAACCACATCTCAACCATCTGAAATTCAACCATCTAAACTCAAACATCTGAAACACAAACTATCCCTCAACCATCTGAAACCAATCTATCTGAAACACAAACCATTCCTAAACCATCTGAACTCCCTCAATCTGACATCCAAACATCTCAACCCACATCACCTCAACCACAACCATCTGAACCTACACCATCTGAGCCTACTCCTGTTAACACTCCTAATCCTAAACCCTCTGAACAGTCAAATCTAGGATCATGTGTTAATGCTATGTTTGAAATATTCAAGAAGGAGATAGATTCTGAATATGCTCGTGTTAAGGATGTGTGCATGTCAAGTTTGGATCCAACTGTTTCAAATGCTGCTTGGAAGCGTTTCATCTGGATGTTCAACAAAGTTGCTTTAAAAGTTAGAGTTAAATGCTCTAAGCTTGCTAAGGTTTAGTTTGCAGAATTAATCAAGATAACTCTGATGAACATGCCTCCTTCTCCTCCTGTGTTGCTTCTGGAAGCTGCTCCTCCAGAGGCTCCTGAATCTGAAATGGTTGAACAAGCTTCTGAAGAGAACCCTGCTGCTACTACATTTGCTCCTTCTTCATCTGTGGTCACAGAGCTTGTGAATGATGTCAAGGAAATAAAAGATTTGATGGTCAAGCAAGAGAAGACAACTGATGAGATCAAAACCTGGATGTCTAAGAAAGAAGAGTCAACTGCCAAAATGACAGAGCTTCTGACCCTTATTGCCTCACGCCAGACTTAGTTTTATTTAATGTTTTTGCACATGTTATTGCTTTTGTTGTTTTCGTATTGTTGTGTTATGATTTTTGGCATCTGTCTGTTTGACTGTGAACTTTGATATGTTTAATTGAATGTTGATGTTTTTGCTTCTATATGCTTCTTTTCTTCTGTATCTTTTTGCCTTTAAAAATCTTTTTGATTATGACAAAAAGGGGGAGAAAAAAAGAATCTGATTGTTCAAACTATAAGCAATTACTAAAACTGAAATTCAGACATTTTATTAACTTACTTTGAATTTAAGTCTTTCAGATTACATTGATATATCTGACATAATTCATTGAAGTTACCCTGAGACTTTTCCAACCAGAACCTGATCTTCAAAGCAAATCTGAGTATTCAATCAACTCTGATAGCTTACTCTGATACCTTTACTCTGGAAGATAATTCAAACAAGATGATAACCAGGCGCTCTGACTAAAGGAAGTCATAATTATCTGGCATCAAGATTTGATTCTGAAAGTCAAACCTCTTGCATCAGGCTCTGAATCTGAAATATGCTTAATCAAAAAGGGAAGTGTTTTCCTTTATTAGAGTATTTATTTCAGGGGGAGATTGTTAATCTCAGGGGGAGTTATAATTCATAATTTTTATTGAACAAAATTTCTCATGTTTTGTCATCATCAAAAAGGGGGAGATTGTAAGAACACAGATTGTTTCTTAGTAATATCTCTATGTTTTGATGATAACACTTATGAATTTTGTATTCAAGAATTATATACTCTAAATTTGTTCTAGACCGTTTGCTACAGGTACTAAAGAAAATATTCTTAAAGAGCAAATTTGAATCTGAACAATGATATTATGAAAGGCTTCAAAGGTTCAAGAGCATCTTAAATGAAGATCTGAACGCTGCCTCCAGAAGAATCTGAGTGCTATCTACCAAAGATTTTGAAGCAGAAGCCTTTAAAGAATAAAAGACTATGAGAGTTCAGAAGCTTAGTCATCAAAAGACTCTGAAGATACTGCGCTGCATAAGTATTGAGAATCTGATATAGAAGACTCTGCTCTGACAGAACTACACGCTCAAGCACACAAGCTGCACATACTCTGATTCAGCATAATCTGAAGAACATCCCAAGACTCTGCAGATCCAGAAGATCTCTACTCTGGAGATTCAGAAGATCCAGACTCTGATGTTGATAGTTGAACTTACTTAGTGAAGAAGATTTGAATATGTATGTTGGCATATCTCAACAGCTCTTTCCTCTTTTATGCTAGACACAAGAACACAGACAAAAAGGTTTTATCTGTGCATTCCATTCTAAGGAAAGTTTCTGCAAAGTAAAAGACAAAAGGCTCTAGGCTTTTTCAGCACAGCCTCCAACGTTGAGAAGACTTCATGGATCTATGTGCCTATATAAAGAAGTCCACTCCATCTTCTTCAGTAACGAACTACTTGCAAAAATTACTCAAAGCAAATCTCTCAAAGCTCTTATATTTTATTTGCTATAACATTGTTCTTAAACTTAAGAGAAATATCACAGTTGTGATAATAGCTTTTTAGAAGCATTCTTACTCTTGTAATAGTTTTACATTGACTGTAAAAGGTTTCCTTAAGAGGATCCAGTTGGGATCAGTAGCTCTTGAGAAGACTAAGAACAGTTGTTCTTAGGTTTTACTATTGTAATCTGTTTTATTAAATAGTGGATTAAGTCCTTGATTGAGAAAGGCAAATCACTCTTGAGAGGGTGGACTGGAGTAGTTGAGTTCAACGAACCAAGATAAAAATAACTGTGTTTGAATCTTTGATTATTTGTCATACTTATTCAACCCCCCCCCCCCCCCTTCTAAGTAATTTTCTCACCTTCACTCTTAATCTGACCATCTGTCTATGGATGATAAGTTGAATTCAACCTCAACCTAGAACCCAAAGCCTCTTGCAAACTCTCCTAAATATGGAGTGAACCTCAGATGTCTATCCGACACAATGCTCAACAGAACTCCATGCAGCTTCACAGTCGGATATAAATCTATGCCAACTTCTGCAAGGAAAAACTAATGTTAATCGGAATAAAATATGTCGAATTCGTCAGTCTATCAAAAATCACCCAAATAACATCATGCCCTCTTGGATTATTTGGCAACCCAGTCATAAAATCCATATAAATGTTGTCTCATTTCCACTCTGGGATATCTAACGGTTACATCAAACCAACAGGTTTCTAATGTTCCATCTTTGACTTCTGGCAAGTCAAACAACCATACACAAACTGAGCCACATAACTCTTTAATCCAGGTCATCAAAATATCTTCTTTAGATTCTGATACATCTCTGTAGCTCCTGGGTGATTACTCAAACTACTCTTATGACTTTCTTCCAGAATCAACTTTTTCAATTCAACATCATCAGGAATACATATTCTATCACGAAATCTCAAACTACTCTTATGACTCTAGCCATTGATTGACCTTGAAATCCAAAACTTTGACCTCATGAAGTCACAGTTGACTTTTCTTGATCAGATGAAACCCTAGCACCCTATCCATTGATTGAAACTCATGTGATGACTTGTAATGATACATAATACATGTAGAGAACCCTCAAGATGTGTATTGAATTTTAGAATCATGTTTTGCCCAAGAAATTACTCAAAGATGTTTTTTGACCAAAATCCTAATTCCAGTTGTTCACAAGATACGAGGAAGTGATAAATGTTTGTAACCTTGATTCAAAAGGTTGTGAGACATGCTTTGATGATGAGAGGATTTTGGGGCTTGAGAATGCCACAAGGTTGATAATAGACCCTTGCTTGAGCTTTGAGACTCACACTCTTCTTGAAAAATGAACAAGATACCTTGATCCTCTGCCTAGAACCAATATTATCCACAAACGATGATGTAAATGATATGAAACATAAGTCAAGAGATAAGAAAAATAAGGCAAATTTTGGGGTGTCACAATATGCTCTAGATACCATATTAGATTTGGTATGTAAAGAAAGAGAGCGGTTAAGATAAGATCTGATGAAATATCTTTGTATATTAAATTCATAATAAATGAGGAATAGAGTAATTCATTATATAGGAGAACAAACTTTGACAACTATAATAAAATAGTTGTACACTAATATACCATTAAATCTAATAGAATCTAGAATAGAGAAACTTAGATATTTTATTATTCTAACATTGCCCCCTTCAAGGGCCTTAAGGTAGATACAAGAACGGCAGTATTATGCATTTGTAGAAGTCTTTAGTAAGAGTGAGGTTTGGTGGGTTATGCATTGTTTTCTTATACAACTCTTAAGGATGTCGTCAATTATGTACTCGATTCATAGCACTTTAGACGAGTTTATTTGATTTTTCCCTCTTTTATTGGTGATGGTAGCTTATTTATTTTTTTATTGTTTTATGCTTAGTCAAACCTTGTTTAAAGGAGTGCGTGACACAGTAAATTCATCGATTTGTTCCTAGGAATAAACATAAGTCCTGTATAAAAGTGATGAGGACATGACCAGCAGACCAGAAATAAGACCGTGCATGCAATTCTTAATGAGTCCATTGTGTCTCATCATTTAATTGATTCTTAAACATTGATATGTCTAGATCATTCAAATCAGAGTTAAAAACAAATTGCATCCATTTTAATTTTAGCTTTTTCATTGAAAGGGCAAGTTCTAATAATGTCTTGAGGCCATATGATCGACCTTCTACGTATCAGATTTCTCTACAGCACAAAATTCAGTCATTATTATAAAAACACAAGTACAATATAAGGTATTTAGGAACATACGAATTGGTTTGTGCAATATAACACCACGACTGATCAAATCCATTTGAAAGTTCTCCAAGATCTCTTTCCACCATAAGGTATTTCAAACAAGAATTACACAGTTTGGGATAAATTGAAGAGTCCAGCTCTTAAATTGAGAAGGCATTTAAACCATACAAGCAATTTTGAAACCCAATATCATTACTTCGATCATTTTCATACACAAAACGAATCCGTACGATCACATTAGAAAGGTAAAACCTAGAAAATAATTAGACTATGACGGTACCTATGTAGTGAAAATGAAAAACCTAGAAAATAAACTTTAAGTTTAAGCACTCGTAAACTTGGTCACAGCTTTTGTTCCTTCAGAAACGGCATGCTTGGCTAATTCTCCTGGCAGAACAAGTCTTACCGCAGTCTGAATTTCCCTTGAAGTAATCGTTGGCTTCTTGTTGTACCTTGCAAGTCTTGAAGATTCTGCAGCAAGCTTCTCGAAGATGTCGTTGATGAAACTGTTCATAATACCCATGGCCTTGCTTGAGATACCCATGTCAGGGTGAACTTGCTTCAGAACCTTGAAGATGTAGATCTTGTATGTCTCCACGCTTTTCTTGTTTCTCTTCTTCTTCTTGTCTCCGGCGCAGCACCGCCATCCTTGGGTAGCTTCTTTCCGGCCTTTGGCTTCTTCTCAGCCGGAGCCTTCTCGGCAACCGTAGATTTCTTCTCCTCCACTGGTTTTTTCTCAGCTGGCTTCTTCTCTCCCTTGGGCGCCATTTTAAAGGAAAGCGAAGAAATGAAATTTAAATCTCTGGAAGAAATGTCAGTCAGAGTAATGAAATTGAGAATGGTAGTGATGAGATGTAATTGGTTGAAAGGAGTTATATATAAAAGCATTTTAACATTCTGAATGGCTGTTGTGAATTCACGCGGATCGGTGACGTGGATTTTCAAGATTTGTTAAATAATGGAAAAGCAGCACATAGAAAAAAGTGATGGAACGATGTTATTTCTGATTCTTTCACGTGGATCGGTGAGTTGGCAGTTATATTGCCCGTTGAATTACTCTCAAAATATACAGTTGAGATTATGTACTCCATTTTTTCATAACACTAAAATTTTATTGCTTTTCATTTTCCCTGGGCGCCAAACTCCAAAATTTACCTTTTAAATTAAATTTTAGGAAATCATCAATTTGATTCTAATATTTTCTCTTTTATATGGGCCATAAATTATTAATATTATAATAAATATAAAAAATTATTAAAATATTTTTTATTTAATTATTTTAATCTTTAAAAGTGTCTATTGAATGACAAATTTATTTATCATAAAACTAGTT